AAGCCAAAGTCAAAGTCTAAATGTATTAGACTGTAATAAATAACATTGATAACATTGTTGACAAGAATATAGAGAGATGATGCCTTATAGTTTCCAATTTAAGAAAACTATTTGTAGAACCACTTAGAACAATTTGTCCAAACTAGTTATGAAGATGTATATGAAAATCCAGCCATTCCTGCAGAGCAAAGGGAGACCGGAGTGAAGCAAACCTGACTTCAGCTTGGTTTGCCTTTCGGCCCTAAATTAGTTTATCCCGTGCAGTGTTTTCTTCACTGCATCGCCTGTTTGTTCAGATGAAAACTCATTGCGTCTGTGCCAGTGTCAGCCCGCAGCAGGGTTTTGCTGGAGCCTCAGGTGCAGGTTTGTGTGCTGACTGCAGGCGCCTGGGGAGCACTGTGTTCCTGCCGCACAGAAGTAGGTGGCCGAGTCTGCAGGCTGAGAGGCTGTGATGTGCAGGGAGAGCTGCTTCTCACTTTTACTGAAGAAGACCGTGAAGCGCCCATCTTCATTTTTATTCAGAACTGAACGTATGGCTATCAGTAGTTCAGGGCCTTTCCCGGGGAATTGCCGGTACCACGGGAAGTAGCCAAATGCGCTGTTCTCATAAGTGCAGTTCAGAACTGGAGTCCCTCCTTCCTGGACTGTCAGAGACTGAGGACTTTGCGTCACCTGCTGCTGGTCACTTCTGTCCTTCTGTTGGCCACTCACCCCTGTGTGGAGAGACGATGACAATCATTAGCCTCAAATTTTTGTTCCTTGCTTTATGTTTACCTGAATAATTTTGTCCGGTACCCCAGTTCTCTCATTCCTTCAAAGCAATCACATATCCTTGGGTTTTTCTTCCATGACTCACAGGTTAGGTGAAGGCCTAGCACTAAAAATGATGTTTCCAGAATCTTGCCCATTTTTCTGGAGCCGAAGCTCAGTGACAACGCAGGCAGTCTTTTATCTGGGCACAGATCAAACTCGAACTCAAACTTGGCAGTTCAGTCCTGTCAGCAGGCTCCACCCTTACACAAGTGCTTTGTCTGAAGCTATTTCCGACATAGGAAGCGCGTCACCATTTTGCTCAAATTCAGTATTGCTGAAAATGCAATCACTGAGAATCAAACTCGCCTGCCTACCTCCGTGGCAGTGCGTATTGGTACAGACACCAAGAGCAAGCCGAGGTGATGGGTCAGAACACAGAGAATATGCGGTTCCTTTGTCTTAGGGAACTTCAGTTTTCTCACGGTCTTTTTCACATGTCTGTATTTTACATGATTTTACAAAGTGATAGATTAAAATTTATGCCACTTTCATTTTACTTCTAAGAGAATTGAAAAAGTAGTGGAATAATGTATTCTGGAGGTGCTCTGTCTACAAATGGTTAAGAGAAGATAGAAAACATCCTGCCTGGGCTGTGAGGCTATGACCTTCCATCAACACAGCATTTTTAATCCTCTCATTCTGAGTTTGAATAAACAGTATTTTCCTTATACTTAATATTATAGATAATGTAAAAATATAAAAAAGAATTTTGGCTTTGCATATTGGTACTAACAACACAGAGAAGCAGAAATGGAGAATAAATAAAAAAAAACCCAAGCCCCCAAATAGAGATGCTCTGTACTAAAAGTAATAGAAATTAAAATAATATGAGAAATAAATGGAGAAATTTTATTGCATATATTTGTGGCCATCACAAGTCCAATCCAAGAAAAACACCATGAGAGGTGAACATAGGCAATGATCTATATTCTTCAAATGATCCAAACGTGTTGTGTTGTAGAGAGCACGCAGGAAACCTTGGATTTGGTCCCCAGGACCAGATAAACTTTGCATGGTCTACGCACACCTGTAATTCCAGCACTTGGGAGGTGGTGGCAGGAGGGTCGGAACTCAAATTAATATCTGGTTATAAACTGAGTTGGAGACCAGGTTCGTATCCAAAAGACGCTGTTTCAAATAATGAAATGTTATTGTATATTCTTAAAAATGCAAATATAGGGAATGTTAAGTGTTTTTACTGCAAAAATAACTATGTGAGATAACATATTTGTTAACTACCTGTATTTAACTCATCCACAGTGTATTAGTTTCAAAATATCACATTGTATACAAGAAAGAGATACAGTTTTAATCTATCAATTTAAGAATAAATCAGTATGCTCTGTCAAAAACAAGCAAACAAACCCAAGTCAATAAAGTATCCAAATACCTTCTACTGAAGCATCCTCAATTTTTAAAATTGCTTTTAATATTTTGAGGTCCTTTTTTCACTTGTAACAGACATCTAGTCAACATACAGAACATACACTACATTACAAGAAGTCCATGCAATGCCATAAATCACACAGTACAGAATCCTCCCATTCCACCACACTAGATTTTCCTGTATACATATATACCCACACATGAAAAGCTTTTACCCTTCCACCGAAGGGAACACGTGTGGCTTTCCTCTGACATATCTAAATTGAAGCATCACTACTCTTGTCCTATGGGATCCTTATTAGATAAAATAAAGACTTTTTGAACACAGCACTATGATACCTGAACAGGTGTTCTGATAACACAGATGGCTGCTCAGTGACAAGTGGCAGGTGGCAAGGACAGTGACAAGTGGCAGGTGGCATGGACAGCAGGGACATGCTCGACAACAATGATTCATATCCCTGTGCGTTGGGGGGGTGGTGCAGGAACATGGCAGGAATTTACCATGCTATAAGGAAGAGTGAACATTTTAAAACTAATGAGTTGCTTATTTTTGAATACTTCATTTCATATGGTACGACCAAGATGGAATGCAGGGACCTGAAAACCCTAGAAAGGTGAACTGAAGGTAAAGAAGTGCTAAACATGTGCCGAGTTCCCTAACTGCCTACTGAACAGGCTGTGCATGGTTAATTGTCATGAAAGGCAGAGTGCCAGTCTTTAACCTAGTTTTCACACTCAAGAACAGAACATGAAGCCTACCAAACACACCTGATGTCTAGACAAGACGACAAAGGGAAGTTCTTACCACTTCCTGACCCAGTCAGAGATGGTGCTGATGTGGGAGGAGTTTGAACTAGGCTTCAAAACATGAGCTGATTTCCCAATGTAAAGGATCATAAGGTAATTAGATTGGATCAGTGTGACCTGAGGCTGGACCAGGTGTGTTTAACGACATCAGAAATGTTCATCAGAGAAGTTAACTTGTTCCTGGCCTTGAAGGAGAGCATGCATCTTCACAGTAGTCACTCCCAAAGCTGTGTTTGTCAACCCTCCGGGATAAACAGATACAGTGTATATAGGTGCCTAGAGAGATACATGTACTTGAATTCTAATTAAACAAGCACAATATGACGTAATAATATACCCATTTTAAATAAAAATTTCTGGCTTGTTGATGGGTAAGTGGAGGGGAGAAATTTTCATCTGCTGAAGAGCAGCACTGCCCCTCTGTGGTCAAATAGAGAGGTCCCCCGAACACTTTACTGAGGTTCTAAAACACTTATATGTAGCAAACCCTGTAATGGTGAGTATTCCTCTGGAGCCAATATTTCTTTCAGTGCAAGGAGACTTTGTCCCTGTTGAGGTCAACTACAATATATTTACTGTTCTCTTCTAAGCCTCAGGGCTCTACAATATTTAGTTAGGATCCCGGACATACCTAGAAAGAAAAATACTTCTGTAATGTGACATATGTACCGCACCTCACCCGAGATCTTTTAAACACACAATGGGATCTCAAACTGAAGCACTGCTTTGTCTCTCCTTCATCCCATATTAAAGTCAAGTCAACATGAGCCCTTTCCCTGAAAAGAGCATGGCCTCACATAGACTTTAAATTGGATACCTACTTTATCCTGTTGCCTACATCTGATATAGTTTTCTCAGAAAGCCAACATAATAGGCAAGTGTCTAGATTTGACGAGTCCTGTATTCTTGACCTCTGATGTAGAGCACATTTCCATGTGGTGATTGGCAATCTGTACATAGTCTTTTGTAAAAATTTTTTGAATTTAATAACCACATGACTAGAAGAAGCATTTCATTACAGCTTTAACATATTCAGTAACACATTTCAGAGCAAGGATTTATCTCTTTTAAAAGTGGCTATAAATTTTTAGGTTCACAGTTGAATTAATATAGTTATACAACATTGAAGTCAGTGTAAACCCTGTAAGACATAAAATTGAATGGGTTTTTACCCTTTAAAGAAGATCTCCATTTCATTTTAAAATATGCTGTTTCCTACATTTTTAATGCTATTAACACATAGATATTTGCATATGTCTCTTTAATCTCTACGTATCTGATTATTGCTAGTCACATTCAGTTACACTCAGATCCTTAGTACCTGAGTGTGAATATAAAATCATCAGGTAGATTACAGTGGTAGTGTTCATCACCTCTACTATTTAACATGAAGTGCATTTTAATGCTTCCTACTCAAATTTGTCTTTTTTCAAATTTGTTGATTTTTTTGTGTCTATCATACAGAACATCCCACACAGTCTTATTCATCTATATATCCACTTCCCAAATGGCACCCTCCCATAGCCCCTGCCAGAGCCCATATACTCTGTCACCTCTGTTACTGACCACTGTGTTGTCAGCACCCCCAGCCATTCTCCAGTGCTTGTCCGTCTGCTGAATCTAGTCAGCCTATCTAGAGATCCTTGTTTTAGGAAGATCAGCTGTTCCTCATCTAGCAGCAATCAGTTCTCGTAGTCCTTTATATAAGATTGGCATCTGCTGTTCATTCTCACCATCCTATGCTTGTTTGATGTCTGGGAATCTTCTGGGCCACACTGGCCAATAATTCAAAGGAAGGCATCTCCTCTCTGGCAGTTTTTCTTGCTATGTAGCCTTTAGATATACATATGGACTCTTAAAAAATTATATCGACCCCATTAGTCTTTGGTTATACTTTCCTTTTGGGTGTTTAAGACCCTACAATTGGCCCAGATGAAGCAATTTATTTTTACTCTTAAAGTGGTTTGAGGATCAGTTCCCCAGGGGTAACATGGGCTTGGGAGGAGCCCCTGGCTCCATCCTTTTACAATTCCGTCTATGTGAAGACAAGTCAAAGGTCTTGCTTGACCATGGCTGGCTTCACTTGGAAGCATGGAGGAAATATTCCCTCTGTGTTGACCCTCCTCCTTGTAGACTGGACACTGGTTTAGATCCATCCAGTGGGGTCTCCGCAGCCTCTTTGATCAAGAGGACAGGTGACTAACCACAGGTACAGAACATTTTGAAAGATGCTCATAGTCCCCTGGAACTTAGTCGACCTAGGAGGGCAAGGAGCAAAAACTGTCCTTTATGTCCCTCTGACCAAATTATTATAGGCCTCATATTGTGGCTGTTAAACATCCAAGAAGGTTAGTTCCACCAGACTGATACTATTAATTACCATGTGCCATGTAGACTTGGGTAAAGTCCAAACACTCTCAGACACACCTTGCCTAGACATATATTACATTCTTTATTCTGCTTGTATGTATAATTTGTCCATAGGTTGCTGGCCTAATATGGTTCCCTCTGGCTTTCTAAAACTAGCTAGGCATTATTTATCTCTCACATTGTCTCACCTTTACATCATGGTTTCCCCATTTAAGGTGCCCCCGTTTTTCTCATTTCTCCCTTAATAATACCCTTCTCCTATGGTCCGACCTATCTTGAGCTCCTTCTTTCTCTTTATCCCCTACATTCCTTGCATAACCTTCCCTCCCCCTCCCCTTAAAATAACCCCAATTTTATCCATCTATCCCTTGTGAACACCTGTTTCCTACTGTTCTCTTTCAGATTCTTTCTTTTCCTTTACCTCCCTGGTTCCTTTTCATTATCCTGATTCCTGTAGTTATGTCTGAATACATAATCACTTATCAGGATTTGATGCTAGGATCCACTTATGACGGATTTTTTTTTCTGAGTCTGTTACTTTATTTAGTATAACAGCTTCTAGTTCCACCTATTCACCTGCAAATTTCATGATTTCATCTGTCTTTACTGCTGAGTAAAACTCCATCATAAAAAAGAACCACATTTTCATTATCCACTCATCAGTTGAGGGACACTTAGGTTGCTTCCATCTCTTAGCTATTGTGAAAAGAGCAGCAGCAAACATGG